CTAAGATCCAGAGGGAATAGGACTGAAGGAAGGGACTAGCAGTGTGACCAGACAGTACAGAAGGGACTCCCCCTGCCCCATCACATGCACATACATGCACACTATCATGAATAAAGAAAAAAAGTTTTAGAAAATAAAATATAAAAAGAAAGAAAGAAAAAGATAGGAAGTATGTATGTCAAGAAATGGATGGAAATACAGATCCAGCACTCATGTCTGAAATGATAGAACTTGAACTTCAACCTTCAGTGAGCTCAAATGTTTTCCTGTTACCAGAACTCCCTCTTGGACTTGCCAGATGGGAGAAAGGAAGCTCTTGTTGACTGGAGAAGCCACCAGGTGCTGGTTCATAAACTTTTGGTTAAGCACAGCGGTTAGAAAGAGTTTCACTATTTTAGAAGACAAATTAGAGGCTCAAAGATTGGGTTGTCGGAAAAGTCATGATGCTTCTTTTTTTTTTTTTTTTGGAGAGGTTTTTGCGATAGGGTGCATGCGCTCGCTAGACAGACAGAGAGAGACAGAGAGACAGAAAGCAAGAAATCACCCCCCAGGGGGGATGGCCATGCAGCAATCCCTTCTCCTCTAAGGATCTTGGGCATGCACGCACATGCGCCTGGCATGAGTTTTAAGCCACCGGGTCCAGTACGCAAACCACAATCAACTACATGGGAGTCCAGCAATATAGCCATTATGCTAACTGCTGGTCCCATCATGATGCATTTTTGCACAGAAAAAAAAAAATCACGACTTCTGACAATCCAATAGGTTGTGATTGCTTGATTTAATATGGGCAGAAAATAACAGCGGTAATAACTGTACTGAGTATTGACCATGAGCCCAACTCCACGCTGGGTAGATATAGCTACAAGATTCCCTCATAACTCTCACCACAGCTTGTGATGCCACCAATTTTTGTTTATCTCTAGAACGTGACTCAGAGAGAGAAATTGCACTGTTCCATGTAGCACAGCTAGAAAGTGGCAGTACAAGGACTAGAACTCAGATCTGTCTTATGCCCAAGTCTGGGTTTTCTCCTCTACTCTGCTCTTACTAGACTGGAAGAGGAGTGGCCTGTGCTGGCCACCAATAGGGTGTCAGGGTGACTGTCAGTCAGCTGCTTGGGCACTGCTAGCAGGGCCTGAGGATTTCATTGTGTTCAGAGCTAAGAGAGTCACCCTCTCACTGCGAGCTGCGCTGCCTGCCACAGCCATGAAGCCCTTTGTCCCCTCCTGGGTGTCCCTGGTGTGCTGAATGGACACAATGGCTATTTCAATGATTTCCCAAGATGGCTCCAGGCCTATCCACCTGGAAGCGCAGGTCCCATCCCAGCAAGTGTTCCCTGGGTGACTTGGACACAATAAACACTCCCAGGAAGTCCCCTGCATGGTGGTCAGCTGAGGGAAGAGGACAGCTGTGTCCAGGGGGGTCAAGATCCCCAGATTCCCATCCTTCTGCCACTCCTGTGTGGTGTGACCCTGGGGAAGTCACTTCATGTCTCTGAGCCTCATTTTCCCCCTTAGTCAAATGAAAGGATTTTTCTCCTGGACAGTTTCCAAAGTTCCCAGCTCAGTACTTCTGTGCTTCAGTCAGAGAACCAGGTTCTCTCTGCACTGCCTGGGTGGTTGGGGGCAGGGTTCTCCCGGAGAAGGTAAATGGCAGCCAGGGAACCAAGCCAGCAAGGAGCAAGAGGGCTGGGATTACTCCAGACCAGAAAGGGGTGCCTTAAGGAAACAAGCCTTGAGGCCGTGTGTTGGGGTCTCCGCTGCAGATCTTTTCTTTCGTCCCACAGGTGGGTCTTGGCAGCTGGGCCGCAGGCCAGGTTAGACCATAGACCTTTATGAGATTATCTGCTAATCGTGGCCTGGACATGACACTCAAGAGGTGTCGCCTGAAGAATAAGATGCTTTTTTATGATGCAGTAAAAGAGAGGAAATCACCTTGGCCCCTTGCCTCACTCTGCACTCAGTAAGCAAGCAGGCGATTCAAGCCCAGCCTCCCACTGGCAAGGGCTCTGAGCGCTGAGTTTCCACCCAGGACTGCCATTTCATCACAGGGCAGTGGGAGGGGCCAGAGTGGGGACAGGAGACAGCTCCCCCTCCAGACATTTAGGAGAGGCCAGGGATTGCTAAAACCCACAGACACTGGTCGTTGAGAAGAGCGAGGGTCACACGCACCACATTAGCAACATTATATACGCACGATGCAAGAGTAAACCACAGGCCCCTTTGGGGCAAGAATTTCTCTGTAAATGCTATTATTGGAACAATTTATTATATTTTCTCTGAAAAGTAGACTATGCCCAGAACCACGGCTCCTCCCACTGACTATTCTCACTCACTGTCTGGATAACTAGTGATGATTTTCACCCTAAAGATTTTAAAAAATGGGTTCAACCAACATTCCCTGTGTGCCAGCTCATGCTCGGAGTGGTGCTGAAAACGTGAGCAGTCGGAAGAGTTAACACAGTGATTCCACACTGACACACGAGCTGTGCACGTATTCACCTATCTACTCCTTACAGCAATGAGATTCAATCAAATAAAAACCAAAGTTCATATTGTATCACTCCCATTTTACAGGAGAGTCTGAGACGGTAAGTAACATGCCCAAGGTCATACGACCTGGAAGGTCAGAGTCAAGAATCAACCGCAGACTGTTTGATGTTCATCCGTATCTGCCCCTCATAATTGATCATTGGAAAGAGAAATCTCTGAGACCTCCCTCCTTCAAGGATTATCCTTCTCCTTAATATGTGTGGGCAGAGCCATGCTCCCCTTCCCCCGAACAAGGTGGTAGAAAGAAATGTTTTTCCCTCCCCTTCATCCTCTCCCAGGCTCCTTCCCCAGGGAGGAGTATTTTATCTGATGGGTGAGATGATGAGCATGCGACTTCCACTGGCCTCTCCCTTTACAAAAGATGGAGGTGATGGGTGATGAGTTCAAGTCCCACTTCTGGTGGCCCCAGGAATGTCCTTCCACCAGGTGCCCACACCCAACTATTCCTGACCAGTATACCTTACACAGCCCTGGCCCAGGCAGCCCCTCTCTCATCTCCTGGTTCGGCCCAGTTGTTCCTTAACTCCAGCCTCACACTATACAGCCGCATTCTCCCCAGAACCTTGTGCCCCAAGTACAGACTTAGGCCCTGACTTCATTTTCCAGTCCTTAGGAAGAACAGACAGGACCAAACGTTTAGCAGAACATTGACGAGGGTTTGAGGGTAATCAGAAGAGGAGACGGGAAAAAAGAATACTGGGCATCGCAGGGTGTGCCCTCTATGGGAAGCGCCGCTGTCGTTCCCCTTCCTCGGGCCCCTCCAGTCCATCTGTCTCCATATTGCAGGTCCCTCTCCCATGGGGACCTTTGGCCAATTGCTTCTACCCTAAAATATACCTCTCAAAACTGTTTTTTTTTTTTTTTTTGGGGGGATTTTCACTGTAGGGTGGGTGCGCTCGCCAGACCGCCAGAA